TACGCTTGCACACGGCCATTATATGGATGCTGCCGATATTCATAATCAAAAACGGTTTTGTACGGTGTATTATTACCGCTTTCACCCGAAAATCCCGGCTTTACAGCCGACTATCATTATTATTATATTATATTTTACATATTACTCGTATTGTACTGTTTCGACTATAATATTATTATAGTTACCTACTCGTGCGGGCTCATATAATAAGTTTCCCGACTTATAGCTAATGCATCTAAAGCTCGGTAATTTTGAATATAGATTTCAAAAAAGCGCACCCTTATTTCGATCAGATTTTGAAATGCTTAGGTTTTTATGAAACAGTTATACGAATTATTCAATGTATGTTTAATAAACATTGTTTATTGTTTAAATATGACACTGTTTTATAATAATATTTGTACCGCAAATATTTTTCGTAAAATCAAATATTGATATTTTCATCTTTCGTCAACAGTATAGTTTAATCATATATTTTTACGTCTACCTTTTTTGTTATTTTAGTACCTATTTTACGTATATTATATTAAAAATGTATAGAACCTGTGATGAACTCTACGTGTACAGATTACAGAAACTCTAGGAATTGATTTCAATTAAATGTTTTCTTCTTCTCTACTAAAGGCCTTGCCTTGTCGTTGCAAATCTGGTTCGCCATTCTTCTCTATTAAAAGCCAGTCTTTTCATGTCTATATATCGACGACAGTCAGCTTGTTTTATCATTTCTTCTATATATGCCTTCCTTGATCTACCTCTTCCTTTGTAACCATTTATTCGCCCTTCATATATATTTGTCATAAACAAATTAAAAAAAAAAATAATTAAATTTATATAGGTAAAACTAATATCATATTTTTTTTTAACGGCTTGTACATAAAATTAGCGTAAAACATATAATATATTATATATCACTTGTATCAAAATTAATGTAACAGAAACACCATTATAAAATTATACCTAAATTCGAAATTGTATGCTATACATAATTTTCATTAGTATTGATATTTTTTAATATAAACATACTTGATATATAAATAATATAAATAGTAAGTACAATGTTATAAAAGTAATATGAACAAATAAAATCATAATTATTAATTATTTTAATTATTTATTAATTTGATACCAATAATTATAAATAATAATAATATTAAAAATGTGTACTTTTGAACGATACAGTTCTAAACTCAATATATGGATTGAAACATACAGGTAACTACCTCAGATACCAAATATGTTTTACGATACTATTTATTTCCTTCATATCTCGTTTTATTCTTTTACGCTTGCACTCATATCAACTATCGCTCATGACAAAATTGTTTATTGTACGAAATATACAATGTTAACTTATGCATATGCTTAAAAATCATAGTTTAAACATATTACGACCTTGTTTGGACACATTCTTCAAGCGTCTCGATACAATATAGACCAACAAATAATTCCTATAATTTTACTATGATTTGTAGTATTGTGCATAATCATCGATTTCGTGCCTATAAGAATCGTTATGATATTATCTTTTTAGGTACTACCACGAAATCTTCAAGTCGAACACTATAATAAAAAAAAATAGCTTCTACTCGTGTTTCTCGTTCGCGTACATAAAACCGTATTGTATCGATAGGTACATGCATTTAAACGTGGACCGCAAAACGGATACACAGATAAATATCGAATTAAAAAGTTAAAAAAAAATTTCGTTATGATTTCGCCACAAGTCTCAGACGCGTCCGATGTTATTATTTACTATTATTATTACTATAATAAATCAGAGTTACGACGTGTTGCATCAAAAACAAAAAAAACAAATTTGACGGAGAGCATCGAGCCCGACCCGAACACGCTTTCACTCCGACGCTTTCTGCCTCTACCGCCTCGAAGAGGTCATATCTGTACTCGCGCGGGTCAACAGTTCATGACTTGATATTTCGCACACGACCGTCGAGTAAACAAAACAAGCGAGTGTATATTATAATAGGCAACCGCACATGTGGGTGATTTCTCCGCGCACCGCCTCGTGAGACGTAAAAATAAATAAATAAAACGAACGACGACTGTCAAGTGGGGAAAATAACTCTGGGCGCTCCTCTATGATGATAATAATATTATATTATGTTCTACGATAATAATACTACTTTGCTTGGTGTAATATAATGGTATTTTCAGCTATAATATATATGTATGATGTATTAAATATATGTGTGTGTATATGTGGTTCCGTCACAAACCACTCTTTAGCGGAGCACTTAACGTCGCGGAAACGAAAATACCATCGTCCACTACAGATTAATATAATGTTTTATTATGTTACAATACCTATAAGGCTATATATGTATTAGTTAAATCGTATAATATTGTTCCGTCCAATGATATAAAAACATACCTTTTATTGTATAGGTACATACTATATAGTTATAACTTATATGAGCACGTGTGTTCAAGACCGTCTATTATATATTACGTATATATTGTACATGGACTGCAATTTTAAGGCGTGTATTGGAGTATCAAGCTTAGAGTCAGACTTGGTTTTATAAGTCACGAAGTGTGAGAGTCACATAGAAGGCGAATAATACTATATCTTTATAGTAAATACTAGAATGGAAACCTTTTTATAACTACTAAAAAGTGAAATTTGATTCATACAATGGTAACATATTTGTGGAAGACATCGATGATAATATTATAATTAATATAATATGATATCATACCATTTTTGTTAAAATTTTATGAATACTTACATACAACTTATAAGCTACCAAAGTATTAACCTAACATGTAAACTGTAAAATATTCATTTTTTCAAGAGCTAAAGAAAAAAAATGTGCCTAGAAGCTATTATTCAGTTTAATCGGATAAAAGTGTATAGACACTTAGGTACCCAATAATATATTCAACCAAATCATAAAAGTTTAGAGTTAGGACGGATAACAATCTATGGTTATATATATTACACAACTAAAAAATGTTAAATATTATTTTGTTTTTAATAATTGCCTAGATCAAACAATAGTTATTTGGTAACTTTCATTTTTTTTTTTTTTTTAATAACTGACCACTTTGTTAAAAATGCATTGTACTATTCTTTTTTATAGCACACTGCGTTGTTGCAATGCATTATATAATAATGTGATTATCCCTAAAACATAATTGATTAATTTTACTTAATTTTAAATTTAATTGCAATTATGGATTTATATACCTACCTACTTGTTTTAAATTATAATTTAACAAAGGTGCCTTTAAATTAATTGGAAAAGTTAATGGATTACAATGGAAAATTCAAAATTGTATAAACCGATAGATAAATTATAAAGTGCATTAAAAAATAAACTAATCCATAGTTAAGTTTAAGTTAAAAAATAATTAATATTTTATTCTGCTTTAACTTTTTTAAATAGTAGTTATAATGCATACTTTTACATAATTATCGTCATGTTATATATCTTCACTCAATACAATTACGACGTGTTAAAATTATTTGATATTGCTCGAAATGGCTCTCGTAGCATCCCTACAAATACGTTACCAAGCGTATGATAAAATTATAGCTGTAAACACATTTAAATATAATAGCGATTTGTAGCCCGTAGGTAAACCAAAATTTTATTGTTTCTTTCTTTCCATTAATCATTGATGAAATGTTATTTGTTTTGATTTTTTTTACGATTCACACACGTTTTAGGTACCTATTACAAATATATATGTATATAAAATGTACCTACTGGTAATCGTGAGTCCAATGAAAGTACATAATGTGAAAATAGTATATTGAATGAAGTGTGAAATATACGTAATTATCAATATAATATGCAACTTGAGGTTTTAAAAAATACCACTCTTTATATCTCGTATTGATTTAACTAGTATGATGTATACATTCTGTAGTAATGATTAATGACTATATGTTTAAAGCACCAACTAAATCATAATTTTCTTTAGCTTTATATACACTTCAAAAATAAATTACAATATACAATAAAAATTATAATATACATATATATATATATATATATATATTATATAATATCTACTTGTAATTTGTTATGAATAGTTTATGTTCACTTTCTTTGAAAAAAATTTGTGTTGCATAACATGCATATTTAATAAATAGGTAGATAATAAATAATTTATCATAACTTCCCTAAAATATTATTTAATTTTAACAAATTAACAAAATGTTTAAAAAAAAAAATTTAAAAAAATAAGTTCATTAATTTTAAAGAAAAATGTTTAAAATTAAATTATTAGAAAAATATCAACCTTATTTAATTAGCGCAGGTCTAAAATATTCAGCAAAGTATAATAAAAAAATGTATATTTATAAGCTAAAAATATAAATTATGTTTATTTTTTAATCTAATAATAAATGATAAATAATATATGTTTGAACTAATTTATATATTTAAGACTATATAAATTTGTTTTATAATATAATTATTTACTAATTATTACTAAACATCTATGAATAAAATTATTTAATCCATATTTTGGTATACCTTTAGGTTATTATGGAGTTTATTATATAGTATAATATACTTTATACACAATTATGAATAACAGTTTTTTTTATTTTCATCGTACCTCATTCAGATTAAAATTATTATTATGCAACATATTCGATTTCAATTGTTTTGCTGCCGTCTTACCTAATAAACTGAGTTTTATTGATCAATAATAATACGCTTTCTCACACTATAGTAGATTGATTCTAAAAAATCAAAATTCATAAAACTTAAGATCGTGCAATATTAATCATCTAACATTTCTCAACATCTATATACTTTTCTCTTAAACCTCATATAATAACGACTTCATCATTGTTTCTGTATTCATTTCAAAACCTATCGGCTATCGTATCTACGATCTTATAATTTTTCGACAGCGTATTATATAGCGTATATCTATTATGCATATAATATTAAAATATCTGTTATAAAATTGATTTTTCTCGTTAGTTTTTAACTAATAACTTTAATCTGTCTGATTTAAAGGTATCATCATTATGTGTACTTCTTGTGATCGCCGGATCTTGCTGGGCGGATCAACAACAACAACAACAACTAGGGATTCCTGGTTCTCTCGATGCCGAGTCCATCAACGACTTAGCCAAGAAGCCATTAAAATTAGATCCAAAGTTACGTAAAGCTTTGCTTAAAGTACTCAATCGCTTAGAAGAAGAGGACAGAGTAAACGAAGTAAAGCAGGCGGAAGTTGAATCACAACAATTTCAACAACAGCAACCACAATTCGAACAACAGCAACAACAATTCGAACAACAGCAACATCAGCTGAGACAAAGACAGCAACATCAACGGAAACAAATACGAATTCTAGATCAACAGCAAATACAAATATTGGGACAACAACAAATACAGTTACAAGATCAACAGAAAAAACAGTTACAGGATCAAGAGCCGAGACTGCAGCTGTTACAGAACCAAGAGCAACGACTGGAACAGTCACAGAATCAAGTAGAGCAAAGACTGCATTTGCAAGATCAACAGCGACAAAACGCACAACCGCAACTGCATTTTAACGTGCAAGAGTCAACTGAACAGGTGCAACAAGAACGTCAAAACTTCACACCGTCTCAGTCGCCGACGGTAGCATTACCCACTTCAACTATAGCATTTACCACTCCTACCGAAGCATTTCAGCCTACACCGACGGCAGCGTTTCCCACTTCAACCTCGCCTAAAACAGCGGCAGTAACGTTAGCTACGTCCACGTCATCAGGTCTATTGCCAACGCTGTTGCCGACCCAAAGTTCACTCGTGGCCACTAAGTCTGTGTCGATCGGCGACGGGGAAAAGGCACCGAATAATGCGCTACGTACGACATCGCCGGCCGCGTCCAACGCACCGTCCACTGACACCGGCACCGTAGTTGACTTCTTCGAAGCGCCTTTGTTGACAGCGTTCACGGTGCAACAGGACTCGGCAGGTGTACCACGACGTGTTATACCCATTTTCACGGAACCGGGACAGCTAGAGAGGCAGAAGATATTGGCTCTGGAAACTCGGGCGGAATCAGGCAATGGTGGCGACCGGAATACGGTTGAACCGGACAGGAATGAACTGGAGTTCCTGAAAAGCGTAGAATTATCAAAGCAACGAGTACCATCGGTATTATCACGAGAAGAACTGCAGCAGCGAGAATCATTAGCCGTGCAACAACAGCTGAGGTTCCAACAACAACTGCAGCAGAGGGCGGTACTCGAAGAACAACAGCGGCGGCAACAGATCGCTCAACAACGACAACAACAACAACAACAGCAACAGCAACAACAACAACTGCAACAACAACAACTGCAACAACAACAACAACAACAGCAGCAACAACGACAACGACAGCAACAACAACAACAACTGCTACAGCAACAACAACAACAACAACTGCTACAGCAACAAAGGGCAATAGTCTTCCAGCCACAGCAACAGCAGCAGCAGCAGCAGCAGCAACTGCAGTCGAACCCTGTCCAAGTGCAACAACTTCAGTTGAACCCTGTTCAAGTGCAACCACAACAGCCGCAACCCATCCGATTTGTGCAACAACAGCAACCACAGTTCGTTGAAGGTCCGTTGACGCTTCTGCCGCAATTCGTCCAGCAGCAACAGCAGGCGCGAGTGCTTAGGCAACCACAACCACAGTCCTTCGGTTACGGGTTGTCAGTACCCAAACTCCCAGGAGATCTGGACGTGGTATACAAGGTGCTGGCTTTGAATCACGAAGGTAGAAATAACAACGTAATCGGACCTCAGCCCTTGTTGTTCTGATCGGCAATTAGTGTCATAATGTTATTATTATTTTATCATCACCTAAGTATTATTGTTTTTATTTTTAAAAATATTTTTAGTCAAACCGCGTTTGTCCCATACTGCTTTTAGGATCGGACCTGAGCATATACATAGTAATAACGTAACGTTTTATAATAATACTAGCTCGTGATTTTATATCATTGTTTTTTAAAAAAAACTTTGAAAATGAGACTTAATATTATAATTAAGTTATAATGTTATTATCGTACTAACGTAATTTTGTTTATAAAATAAACGATCAAAACACTTTACTTCTTTACGGGGCATTATTTTTTTTTCTTTACGCACATCGAATGGTTTTTTAAAAATAATTTGAAAAAGTCTTAATGCCTTTATTAGATATTTTATTTTTTCAACGACCATTGTAGCAAGGTGAACCATAAAATATTATATTATTTATGTATGTAGTACTAGCATAATAGTTATTATAATATTTTTAATGTATATTCGTGTTTTTATTAAATATCGTATATTTTATATTCATATTGTATATTAAGATATTTATAGCCTGATATAAGTTGTATTTGCGAGTTGATATGCCCGTGATATATATATACATATATATTGATGTACCTATTTAGCATCTATACTTTCATATTATTGTAATATTTCTGTTAAATTTTAAAATAATTCTTTAACTGAATATTTTTTTTGCATATGATTCTTCTCTGACTTACAAATATACGAGTTTATCTTGTTGTACGTATTTGTATATTGTGCTATTACTTGTATAATTCTTATAAGCCTTTAATATTATAAAAACTATTATTACTTATACTTATAACATTATATTAAGATTGAGTTATTTAAAATGTAATCGAAAATAGTTATAATAATGCATATAAATTATAAATAATAAATGTTATTTACTTATATATTTTTGTTTGTATTTTACTAAATAAATAGTTCACAGAAATGTAGGTATAGTACGTTTTAGTATACTTAGATAAAATACTCTGCACAATATACTATAGCTTATTGATTTCAAAATAAATATACCACATTTATTTGCAGTGGTGAAAGACTCGGAGGCAATCTAAGCCCTGCTCCCAAATCACACACTGTAGGTACTTATTATATCTAAACATGGCCATTTAAAATGAATATATAATTTTTTATAGAATATATTAATTTAAAATTAAACGGAACCTACATAGAATAAATATATGTGTGAAAATATATTGGTTCAGGTCAGTTGTACATTGTTAAGTACAAGTTTAAAATATTGAAGCTTATGAAAAAAATAGACCGGTATAATCGATCTCCACTCATAACCAAGTTATTAAACATTAGTTATGTACATATAAATGCAATTAATCAGAGAAAAAAGATAATTACAAGTAATATTTGTCATTAGCACAATTCATTTAATATTATGATCCCCGAATTTAAAATGGCGAAGTAGAAAAACTCACCGAAATAATAATTGATTAAGTTTTCACTGCATTTGTTGATATTTACTCATTAGGCGATTTGGAAATCTATAACTAAAAAATAACTGTTAGGTACTTATTATATGTATATTATATATAAGTCAAACCTTTATGAGGCATATACGACAGTACGACACTCCACACTATGCATAATAAAAACAAGCAGAAAAATATGAAATACATTTTATGACGTACTGTTGCAAATGTTTATTAGAAATCTTGTTTTGTTATAATTATATATATTTTTTTACCTGACCCCCGCTGGTGTATTTCTATTTCGTCATTACTGGACGCTGACTATTCCGGTAACAAGTGTTGGATTTATAAATCTATGATTGTAATCTGCTCTGCAGTGTGCTTTTTAAGTTTAAAAAAATCGATTTGAATTCGTTTGGTATTTTTGGAGTTTATCCGATACCTAAACAATACTAGAATTAAATTAAAATTGAAAATAATTAATTATTATTAATAACAAAGGAAATTATTTTTATATAACTTAAGGCTTGAGCACATAGCCATACGTTTTGAACAAGTTGTTATAGAAAAAAATATTGAGGTGGAAGGACTGAGTCCACTTATATTTTTTCTCCTTTGACACTTCAACCTCATTATTTAAGCGTCGAATTGTTTGGACTGAAATTGGAAATCTGAAAAATTAATTAAAAATACAAAAATAGGTAAAAGCAGCGCTATCTATTGACAAAAGTAAACCGACGATTAACGAACAAAGTTCTATCATAGTCGCGATTCTCAGTCAGCAACAATAAATAACGACCTATACACTCGTTAGTTAGATTTTATACATAGAAATATAATTAACTTAACTTTCTAGTTGAATATAATAAATTATCGCTGTGCTAATTTGAACATTTTATTTGTCGAATTCCAACAGTTGAAGGTATAAAAATTAAAAACTGAAAAAGTAACACTTATGTAAATTATGAAAGTTACAACTCATACACACTCTGGTGGATTAAATTTACTTACCTAGTTATGTTATTGTATACACACACCAACATAATTTGATAGAGAGCAGCATATATTGCCGTTATCCCAATAAAAATAATTATTTTATTTTTTATTTTTTGAAGAAAATAAGATACAGCAAAAGCTTTAATATTTTAACAACTCTGAAAAGTCGTGGACTCTAACTTAGCGGTAAACTTTTTGTTCGAAAATTAAGCCACAGAATTATTAATGGTTATATTAATTATAAATAATTGTTGTCATATTTTGTGGTGTTGTCACAGAATAGATGAAAGCAGAATGGAACACTCTTTTAAAATTAACGTGGGGTCTTATGGGAGTACGATGGTTTTGAGCTAAATGACGCTCAGTATTATCACCAATACAAAGATAAACAAAAATTGTACATAATCCATTGTACCATATAAAATTTTCATCTCGGCAGTTGATTTGAACTCTAAATGTATTATTTACAAACTAATTATTTTACGATATTCACATAGTAAAAATTATTGTTCGAACGCGGTACAATAATTGCCGCCTAATAAGCTTTGTTGGGACTCTACAAGTGCTACGAATTCTCCTACATACGGCGAGACCAAGCCGTTGATGCTCATGTTGGCCGACAAGCTGTGTTAGACGTATGAATTTTTTTGTCTTTTTCCAACGGTTGAACGACACGCACGTCACGTTTGTTCGTCCGCACGAAAAACCTCGTGTGATCACCATCGTCGTACGAGTACCTTTTATAAAAACAATCAAAATAATAACTTTATTAAAATTTTCTTTTCAGTCCGCAAACCAATAGGAACATTACTGTAAACAAATTAATATCACATCATTATTAATTAAATACTGTTCATAAAATAAAAGTCCAAACTTAACTTATTTAAAATATAACCATTTTATATAAAAAAAAAAAAACAAACAAACAAATAAAACAGTAGGTACTAGTTAGCCAAAATAATCAAAATTTATAATAAATATTAACAGACTTTACTTAAAACAAATTTATAAGAAAATAAAAATGCACTTAATTGTTAAACTTAACATTTTTTCCAATACAAAACATAACATTACCTATATAACAAAACCAATCAAACAAAAATTAATATCACAATGTTATTAAATACTGTCAGAAAATTAAAAGTCCAAGCTTAACTTATTTAAAATATAGCATTAAAATATAATCAGAGATTATTCATTTACATTAAAGAGATGTTTTTTTTTTTTTTTTTGTACAGTAGTAAAACCGGATTCATCAACATTATAAATAGTGCTTGTATTTATTTTATTTTCATTGTTTTTTCTTCATTAAAATTATGAACCAATGAAAATTTTTCAGCAATGTCAAAAGCTAATTTTCTTTCATCAATTATTGTAAAACCGATCTAAATATAAAAATAAAATATTTCAATATTTACACAATATTTAATGTATTTAATACATAGAGTGAATCAACATAAATGAAAACATACAAAAACTATTAAAAAAATTATATACATTATACATTATTATATTTAAAAAATTTACAAATGAGTTAGAATAGTTAATTTCCTATTCTTAATTTTTTTTTTCAGACATTAAATTTCTATTTAAAAATTTGATAGCTGTAAATATTCTAAACCTTGTAAACAAATTAATTAAAAACAATTTATCAAAAAACTCACAAGGGTGGTTAAAAGGTACATTGCAAAAATAATTTTTTAATTCAGCCCCAACTCCATCTACAATAGCAATTGTAGGAAAGTTATTAATAAAAATATTCTCTAACTCATTAATATAATTGTAACAAGTATCATGCGGCATCATTAAATTCCCAAATGTCGAATGGTTACTAGAGGAGTATGCTTTATAAAATGATAAAAGGAATGAATAATCCAACTGTTTTTGAGAATGTGCATAGTCAATAAAAATCTGGCAAGTATGTTTCTTAATACATTTTTTCATGAGATAGCCTGACACGTATGTTAATGTATTTTGTTCAGGAAGATTTAAAAGTCTATAATCAACTGTTCCTACACCTATGCCTTTAAACTTGAAATGTTCAATTTGTGCTTTTTTGGTTGGTTCTATTGAACTTAGTATTTCGTCAAAATCTTTTATACAATTAGCACCTGGGGAATGTTGAAAATAAGTTAGATACAAAATTTTTTTAGATGCCCAAATAAATTGGATGGGTGTTGGGTTAAAAGAATTGCCTTGGAGCTGACTAAATATGCAAAAAAGGTTCTCTAAGCAGTCTTGATTAAGTCTGTTTGTATAAAGGACAAATTTTTGGGATTTAGTTGGATTTAATAATGTCCACAAGAATTGCAGCCCTGAAATTGAGATCAACCAACCATTGATAAAATTCATTCTGTTTATTTCATCAGAATCTTTGAATTTATTTATCACTTTTAAAGATCTAAATATATCTGCCATTTTATTTAAATGTGCAATTTATAATTCAGTGTGTTTAAAAAGACGATTGTACTGCTTTCTATCTGGAATTTTTGATGAGTTAAATATATCAAATAGTTTGTCTATATCACTGATAAAATCGATCGTAAATTGTGCAGAAGGCGGTAATATTTTGGAAATTAAAACTGATGACATTCCAGCAGCAACAGTATTACTAAAAACTTGTGCAGCTAAATAGACTCTCATTTTCCCAAATGGACCAGGGTAAATATGAGCATATGTCAATTTGGGAACCAACCGTAGATTGCACTCTGAATCATAATTGTAAAAAGATATTAAATGGTCTTTAGTAATAATATTGTTATTGATATGAAAGTCATGTTTAAACAACATGTTTCGAGTAGATTTTATCAGATAAGGCGGGTCAAAAATGTAAGCAATTTGTATTGAATCTACTTCAATATATGGCTTGCCAGGAGATACATACAGATTTTTAGCAAACTGAGAAAAATTCGAGCCTTCATCTGTAATGAATGCTTTGATGTTTAATTTAATATTTTGTAAGCGGGAAATAGTTGAAAAAAAACATCTTTTTAATCATTACCAGAACAGTTATAAGAGATAAGAAAATATTCAATTGGCTGTTTCCAGTTATGATTTATGCCTCTAAGCATAAGTATGAGAGCATACTTGACAGGTTCATACTTTTTGCATTTACTTGTCTCATGAAACCCAACAATTTTGTCTTTGTCGACTTTATAAAATAGATGGGTTTTAAGAGACATTTCATCTGTGCAAAAGACACAATCAAGAGCATCAGGTAATAAGCTATTAATTTTATAGGATAACAAATTAAAAAGAAAACCATTGAATCCCGGTGTTATTTCATACCTACTAGTGACTCTTCTGAACGTCGTTCAGCATGAGGGAAGGTAAAGAGCTCTTTGCATATTTTTGTACAATTTTGCACTTATAAAAAAAATACTAAGAGCTAATTGTTTAATATCATTAGAATATCTATACCCTTTTGATTTTCTGTTTTTGTAGTCAATTTGTGATTTTACTATCAGTCGTACAGTCGGTGAGCAGTATTTCTCAACGACTTTTAGACACGTCATGATAGAATAATCTTCGGCTAGCTCTGGATTAGAACTCATTACAGACTCTAATTCTTTTCTCCTTTTTGTTTCTGCAGAGTTGTTTTCTGAGTTTCATTTTTCTCGGAGTTTGATCTGTTAGAGATGCTGAAGTAGATGTCGATACATCCGACATGGAAATTTTCGACAAGGCAGATGACGTATCTTCAATAAAAATTAAATAGATATTATTAATATTATAATATAATAATAATATATCATAATTATTATAATTTTATATTTATAAATTATATTGTATAATATATATTATACAATAATAAAATGTATAAATATATTATGTAATAATATAATTAGTTTAAAAATTATTTTATAAAAAACATGCCAGGTGTTGAACATGACGGCAAGCTGCAATCCTCCACTGTCACATAGTCATTATTGGCAACATTTTCAACAGCTTGTTTCTAAATTGTACTTTCAAACAATGTCGGTACAGCATCAAGTTTAAGGCGGTTCTGTTGTTCATTTCGAAACATAGAGTTTTCAAAGTGCATTGAACACAACCGAAAATTTTTATTTAAAATTGATGCATCAATTTCTTTTAGATGTGACAATCCACTGTTGTTAATCCAAACTTCACATCTATACAATTAAAAATTAATTTAATATTTGTATTTATTGAAAATACTTTTTACAAATGTTAAATAAATTAATGGTAGATAAGTTCCCACGCGATTCTCCCCCCTCCCCCCCAAATGTATTATATCAAAAAATTGTAATAATTCCCGCTACGCCACGGTCTTTACTTTAGTGCAATGGTCGGCAACCGGCGGCCAGCGGGCCGCATTCGGCGCACGCGTCTATTTTATGTGGCCCGCTTGACGATATTTAATTTCATCTTATATAACAACATTTCAAATATATTCAATAAAAATACTTAAACTGCACATTTTATTTAATCAGTCATGATATAATATAACATGTGTGTAGTATCTATAGTGTATGCTATTAGATTCTGAACGGAGTGATAAATGTATTGATTTTACAATGATGTGCGTTTTTTTTTTTTGTCTGTGTACAGCATAAGTAGTCGAAATAATGCTTCAATTTCAAACTTCGGGAGTGGTTTCCGATGGCAAAGTGAATATCCTTGGTGCATTGTAGAGGTAAATAGTAAACATTTTTACGCAAAACCAGTTTTCGACCAAATCGAATTTTTTTATGGTTGTAATTCAAAAACTAATCACTGTAAATACTTGAAATTTGAAATTAAAAATCGTTAGTCACAATTTTTTTTTATAAACGTTTATAGTTCAAATATTTACGAAATCTATCGAAAACGCGAAAATTTGTAAGTAATTTTGAAGTTGAAAAATCATAAAATTTTTTGTGTTTATAACTAAGGATTAAAAATACTACACTATGTTTCCCCTAAGTTTTCCTTCAAGTAGCTATAGTAAAAACTCGAAGCATCATTATAGGAAAAATTTTAAGTGCGTTTGAATTTTAAATTTTTACGAAATAGCGTAACAATAACGATTTATCCTTAAACGATTTTAAATATTTGTTAATATTCAAAAAGTATAAGTCGTAGATACTTGAAAATTTTACCAGTTATTTAGATTGGAATTTTCTTTACATGATTTAATTTTCAAAATATTTTGACTTTTTTTGAGCTATTTATAGACAACTGACATTTTCAATTTTTCTGAAATTTTTGGTCCAATCAAAATAAATTTAATACAAAGTTCCTCATAAGTTATTCTTATAGTGATCAAAAAATTTTATGAATACATAGGCACAATCTTTTTTTATTAGCATTTGAAGTTCAAATATTGATAAAAATTCGTCAAAACCATGAATATTTGCAAACTATTTTGTAGGTATATTTCATAAAAATTAATAATTAATTGATTAACCATGGCTTTTGCAAATGCGTCCTAATTGAAAAATAAAATATTTATTTCAAAATAGAATGTATGACAATATTTAAATATAATATATCCTAGACTGACAAATCATCTCCGTTCAGAATCGTTTTTCATATACAATGTTACCTATCATTGTATTCAAATTTAACCTACCCTAATCCGAGGTTCACCCCACCCCCTAATGTACAGCAGAGCGGTACCCACTTGCCCACTTTTTTTTTATTTAGCTTATTTGTAGACCATGACATTAAAACATTCAAAAATATATGATCAGGTACAATCTAGTTATTATTTGAAGTTATTTATGATCAATTATCATTATTAACCATGAATAATAGCGTCTAAAAATTGTATTGTTTTATTATTCATTTTTAAGCATACGTCAAATACCCAAACGTAATTTTATAATCTAGATTCGTAAATTCTATAAATAAAAATATTCTGGAACTTAGATTCTTGTCCTACGAACCACATTCTTTTAAATGTCTAATAAAAAATTTGTACAACTGTTATCTAGATTTATTAATTAATAGAAACATACATTTGTCTTTAAATATAAAATATTAATACACAAGTAATTATATTATTTAAAGAGGTACATGAATTTTTTTAAGATTATTTATAAAACAAAGTTAATTTTTTTTTAACTTAAATTAAATTTTATAGTAAAATTCAACAAAAAAATGTATTCAAATTAATTTTACTTACATGCAAAAACAACATAAATAAATACTTACTAACAAGGTATTATTTAATATAAGGGTGGTTTAAATATATATTTAATCTTTACACAACTAAAAAAGAATTTATAATTCTTTACTTATAATTTTATTTTTTTTTTTTACAAAAAATTGAATTTAAATTGATCAGGTGACAAAAAATGTTGTTTATTAGGTTTAATAAAATCATTGGAGGCACTAAATGTTGCTTCATTAATAGATGTATTCTTATCAATAGTTAATTTTTCAGATGATTCACTTTGTGAAGGTTGAAACATAAAATTTCCTAAAAAATTAATACATCTATTATAAGTACTTTATTGTAATTTTATAAAAATAATGGATCTCATTTATTATAAAATTATACACAATATCAGTAAACTATTTTATTATTTTAAGATTGTGATTTAAAATTTTAACATAATAATAAGATATGAAAACAATTTGCTATTTATATAAGACTCACCTGATTGTTGTGGTATTTTTATTCTTTGGAAATTTGATTCAGGAGTTACATCTGAGTTGTCTACAATTTTAAAATTTTTTTTTTAATCAAAGCTTATTTTAATAAATACATTAATAACTTACTGTTAAAAGAGTTTAAAAAATTGAATTGTGTATTATCTTGCAATTGATTAATATCATAAGAATTTTCAAATAATTCAGACAAATCTGACCCCTAAAAAACCAATATTAGTCAAAAAAAAAAAAAAAATTAAATTAATTTACATACACAAAAACTGCTGTTTCCACTATTTTCCAATATCGGCTCTGCACAAAAGTTCCAAAATGTATCTATTAAAATATAAAAATTAAGAAATGTATTATTGTATATTAACTTCAATCAATTTTTTAACTATTTTTTTCATTTTATTCTTTCATTGAATAATAACAAAATAGATATTTAATTGATTACAATGATATTTTAATTTTTATTGAAAAGTTACCTTTGAATTAAAATAAAACAATTAATTGCTTACAAATAAGCAAAATAATCTCAGTTGGGTTATACTGTTGAATTTTAAACAATTTTTATTTTTCTTAATGTAGCATTAAACATACCAAAACTTATCAGTAATGAGTTATTGACTTAATTATTATTTAATTCTTATTTCATAAGATATATTTAATATATAAAAAACAAATTAATAGTAAGAAAAAATAATATTGTTTATACAGACCAGATAACTCTTTGTTTTGATCATTAGATACATTTTCATGTGATAATTGAGATAAATCATTATATATGTTGATATTATCAGAATTAAGATTTTCTAAATTTGAGTGTTTCATAGATTTCAAAGTATTTAATTTCTGTGATTGGTCTTTATCAGTCAGATGACTATTTTTATTATAATGATTATTACTATTCGTTGATAAACTCAATGATATAAGTTTTTCTTGATTAAAATTATTTTTCATATTTATGTTCTGAAAAAAAAAATAAATCAATAATTTAAAAATTATAATATACAACTAAGATGACTATGATAATTGATTATAAATATATATATATTATTAATTGGAACTTTAAATATGGTTAGACACCTACCTACACAACAAATAAAAAATTAACAATTTATTTCAATTTATAAAAAATTAAATATTAATTAATAATATTCTATACTCTAAAGAAAAATTAAATGTAATGTAATGTAATTAAGATATACATTTTTATTAAAAGATAGGAAATAATTAATTATCTAAGACATTAACTATTTCCAAATATTTGAATCAGACTTTTAAGAAACTAAACTCCTTGTCAATTAAAATAGAATCACATTTTAAAGTTTTGGATTTCTCATATTATTTAAATCTAAAAATTTCAAGAGAATTCTAACTTATTTACCATTTAAAATAATTTTTAATAGTAATGCAAATTGTAAGAAATAATGAAATTCATTAGTAGAGGCTATGTTTTTCCAAAAATTTGAGGTTTGAAATAAATTCATTTGTAAACATACATTTTAAATGTTTTTTTCTTTTAATATATGTATACATTTTTTTTTTCTATAATACCATCAAATGAATAAATAAATAATATTTACATTTACAATTGTTTTTAAATAAAAATCTTTTGTCATAAATTTAAAATTAACCGACAATTAGCTAATTGAAGTTATTCTTGTTTGTTCTTTTCTGCTAAGCTTTATAACAATATATCTACTAAATACCTACATCTTAAATTAATGTTAGATATCTACATAATTTAAATTAAAAATATCTACCTTGTTTGTCTTCATTTTACTTGGTTGAAAAATCTTTGAATTCATTATACTTCTATCTTGCAACGAATTGAATGATTTTTTAAATTTAATATCTGATAGTACATCACTAGTTTTACATTTATTGATATGAGAATTTAGATCATCATCATCACCTATATGTTTATCATTGTTCTCAAAATCCATTTTTTCTGATTCTATTAAATCTTTTTTTGTAAATTGAATAATATTCTCTTCCACATCTTCAACATTAAGAATATTTTTTAACTGTGAAGAATTTGTACTTAAGTTTTCATTGTCTTCAACTGCAAATTTATTTAAGTTTTTGCAAATATTTACATTTTCATCATTTGTTTTAAGTGATATCTTATCCTCAGGAGATAAAAGAAAAGTTACATTTTTCTTCGGTTTATTTAATTTTGAATTCTGAATATTTATATCATCTTTTAGAACTTGATTCAATAAATCAAATTTCATATCAAAAATGTTTGAGTCAATTGTGCTGGGAGTATATGACCAAAACAATTGCTTAGTTATTTTCTGAAAATTAAACGTAACAATATTAATATTAGCATAACAACATTTTAGTTTTAATAAATATTTATTTTACCTTATTTTGGTGTTCAAGAAGTTCATTTTTCACACAACATTTTTCATTATATTCTTCATTCAATCTCCTAAAATATAATTATACCATTGAATAATAACTAATATATAATAGATACCTACACTTACATATAACAGCTATAAATCTAAAATAATCATTTTACCCCAAAATTGAATAAAACAAATATGGGGTATTTACCTTAAACGATTTTTACAGTTTTTTTCTCTCTTATTTAAAGATAGCATTTCAAAATAAGCTTTGGAATATTCTACAATGATATGATTTCGTTTTTTATCTATAATAATATATTTTGAATAAATATAACAATAAATTTTAAAATAATATATTCAACTAAAATAAAAAAAACTAAATCTATTTTTAAAAGCACTAAAGATTTAGCAGTGAATTTTTTTGATTACATAAATACATACAATGCAATTACCATTTTCATTTGTAGCTATGTCAATCTTTTCAACTAAATTTTGTAGATTTATCAACAATTTTTCATATTCTAATTTTGTGTTTTTTAGTTCACAATCAGCAATTTTTAATAATTTAACTTCAGGTATATTATTTAGTCGTTCCTAAACAATTTAATGAATTTATATTTTATGTATATCTACTATTAATGTATATTTATATATTTCATAATTTTATTTCTAAACTATTACTTTGTATATGTTAGATAAACTTTGTAGAACTTTCATTAATTATGTTTTAACATAGTTTATTTATAGCATTCCTTATTAACTTTCCTTATTATAAGACATTAAAACAAACATGTTAGCATTTGTACTATGGTTTACATAAAAATTAATTAAAGGAAATCATAACACTATTTTTTTTTTATTATAATTTTAAGTTTATTGGTGTATTATTTTAGTCAACACAATGAAAAACATTTTGGTAAAAATCCAAAGTTAAAAAAAAGATTATTCAACAAGATAATGAGAGTTGATAAATAGTTGCGTTACATCATAGAGCCAACGAATGAGCAGTTGCCTATGTTTTACATGTAAAAATAGTTAGATTTACACAATGATTTTAATAGCTTAAAATAGTATTTCAGAATTTTTTTTTTCAACATTTTAATTGTAATATACTTAAAACAATGGTGTGATTAAAAATTGAATATATCTTGTTGTTGTGTACATGTTATAAATTATAATTTAGTAAAATTATTGAATTTGTTATTTGTATTGTATACTCTTATAATAACCAAATTTTATGAAATTGATTATAATAATTTTATTTACTATAAAAAAAAAATAGAAGTTATATCAAAATTATTACCACAACAGTGTCATAAACATAAAAAAATATTTAAGGTTGCATAAAAAAAATTTAAAAATATTATACTCAATGATTGAAATTATGTTAATCTAGACCAATGGTCAGCAATAAGCAGCCCGCGGGCCAAATTCGGCCTGCAAAGAAAAAATAATTGAACGACAAAAATTATTTTTTTTTTAATAATGCTAGTTTTCCACATATAATATATATTTTATCTATTTTATGATGTATTTAGAGATTACGATGGTGTTTATCATTTATTGCTATTTACAAAAATAGTTGCGATAACACAACAATTATTAATTAATATCTGAGTTTTTAGTTTTTACTAGCCCTTGATATTTTTTTTTGATTTTCTGGACCTCCATAGAATTTAATTTCCGACCCCTGATCTAGACACTTTTGCACGTAAAACATACATCGTTGTCCCAACTTCAGTTTTATGATATCATTTGCATATTTTCAAACACCTATCTCATTAAAAAATCAGCGTTTAAGTGCAAGACCCACACGATATTTAATAAATAAAGACATATTTTAAATATAAGCAAACTTGTTATAGGTGTTATAATGTCCTTTAAAAAAAATTTATTATCATTTAGGACAAATGAATTAGTCAAATTAAAAAAAAAACCTGTTTAAGTTTTATCTAATATAAAACATTGTTAGTTTTCAAATTTACATTTCCAATAAATATCATATTATTATTTTTTTAAATATTATTAAAAATGCAATTTCTAACCTCTTCTTTTTGCCACAATTCCATTTTTATAAACAGCTGTAATTCATAATCACATTTTAACTTATTTAATGTGAATTCTTTCTTTTTATGTTGGATTTCTAGATGAGCTAATGTTTCATTCAGAGAGTTAGTAATGTTGTCAATACTAAAAGAATATAAAATTTTCAACTTGTATTTTGAATTAGTTTTAACATTTTTTTAAACTTTAAAATACAAATATTTTTAATATTTTTTTAATAATATATAATACATTAATGTAATATTATATTATGTTACCTCACTATATCTTCTTTAACTTCTTCTATTCTTGATTTAGTATCATGCAGTTGTTTTTCAATCCATTTATTTTCTAAAGCGACTTGTTCAGTAGAATGCTTAATTTCTTCAATACTTTTTATTTTTACTAAAATATGTATATTAAGTTAAAACTATGTATAATTGATGTATATTACTATGGAACTGATCCTTGAATAAAAAAAATACATAGAAAAATGTTTTGTTGGAGAGAAAATTTTAATTTATCAAGAGTTTGAATTCCTAAGAGATTCAATAAATAGAGGACAAAATTGAATTAGTAATTTGTAAAATAAAAAAAAAATGTATACATAGTATACAATCATTTTTATAAATCAAATAATTATTTGCAGTAGTTTTTATATGTATTATATTCATAACTATGTGTAGTTTCAAAGAAGTTTGTTACATTTTATTATGCTCTATTGGATTTTTGAACCTAAAGTAGTAAAATTCCCATAAAAAAAATTCCTCCAAAAATACTTTAATTTCATTACATATTTGTTTTAATAATTTTTAAAAACAAAATAAATAAATTGTGAATGGGTTTATAGCAAAAATGTTAATCTTTCAATGCTCAATAATGGTGAAATAACTTTGAATAGTTATAATTGAGTTTTAAGAACTTTGAATTATTACATGTTAGTTGCTGGTTTGTTTTTGATTATTATTTATTATTAATTATTAATTATTATTTATAACTTATAAAATCAATAATAAAAACCTATTGCATTAATAATTTTATATTATCAGTCGTTATGTTATAATTCTATTACAATAAAATATCCATAATTTTAATCTAAAGGCTGAATTTACTTTTTAAGAGAAAAATTTTAATTTTAACTATATTTAACTAAAACTCACAACGACACATTTCTTCAAGTCTCCAAAGTTCGATACTGCTTTCATAAAATGTCAAATTAAATTTACTCATGTCGTCAAGCATACTAGAATCATTTACATCATCACCGGACATTTTTATCTGAATCTGAAAATAATAATAATTACTAGAATATGTAAAATATATACAATGTGTATGGTGGAATATTAAATCATTTAATAATAAATGTTAAAATAAAGAATATTTTAGTGAATCAAAGAGTACGATTACTTAACTACCTGTAAATATACACCGTAATATATATAAGAATTTCTGTAATCTGTATATATTAACAGCTAATTACTTGCTGTAATGCTAAGTCGTGTTCTTAGTTCTTATTGATGATTGTGTTAAAGTATTAAATGTTCAAACTTTAAAGTGCTGTAGTAGTGTAGTACTGAATTACTAAATCAAGTTCTTACTTCTTAGTAAAAAAATATATTGTAAAAGACAAAGGTAGGGGAACGTGGGGCAGAACGGGGCCATGGGGCAAAACGGGGACATTCCAATATCTATGTCTTATAATGGTCATACTGATTTAAAAACTTAATATATAGAATCCTTGGGCTAACAATATCATGTGAAAAAAATTTCAAGTTCACATATCAATTATCTTATCAGTAATAAATTAAAATCATCACAAATGCCTCTTATCATCTGATTGATATAATAAACTGATATTTTTTTCCGAAATGTTTTTATGGTTTACTTATTGTTACATAAATTTGTTTTCACTGTTTTTATAGCAAATGTTCTTAAGATTATTTTAATAATATTAATTATTAAAAAAATTAATTGTTGTGTTTACGAACAACGGCTGCAGGTAAGTGTACTCATTGGGGCATAATGGGATAGACCTGTTCGGGGCAAAATGGGGACGTCCCCGTTTTGCCCCAATGTTTTAATTTCATAATTTTGAAACGATATATTACCATATTTATAGAATGGTTAGAAACTATGTTAGAAAAACTAAACGCCAATCGTGGACAGAAGAGTCTATGAAAAATGCCATTATGGTTTGTGTAAACAAAGAGATGGGGTATAGAAAAGCAGCATCAGCATTTGATGTTCCACAGTCAACTCTTGAAAGAAGAGTGAAAGTCTACTTAGAATCTGGAAATAAAACAAATGCTTTTAGTAAAGGTAATCTTATTTAAGTATTTACATTTACAATATAATATATATATATATATATATATATATATATATAATATTTATTATTTTATAAGGACTTGGGAAGTATAAAACAGTTTTCAACAGCGAACAAGAGATTGAATTAGTTGAATACATTAAATCTATGGAGGCCCGTTTATTTGGACTAACATCTTTAGAATTAAGAGGATTAGCTTTCCAACTTGCAGAAAAGAATAATTTAATGCATCCTTTTGAAAAAGACAACTTAAAGGCTGGAAAAGACTGGCTGTATGGATTTATGAAACGACATGCTGACTTATCATTACGCCAACCTGAAGCTACATCAGCGGCAAGAGCTTCTGGTTTCAATCAAGTAGCAGTGGGTAAGTTTTATGCTTTGCTGACAGACGTTGTTGATAAGTACAAATTAACTGCTTCGCAAATATTTAATGTTGATGAAACGGGAATATCGTGTGTCCCAAAATCTCAAAGCAAAATAATTGCATGCCGTGGTCGCCGTCAAGTAGGTACTTTAACATCTGCTGAAAGAGGCCAAACAATTACAGTTGAAATATGTATGGGTGCAGATGGATCTTATATGCCTCCTATGCTTATATTTCCTCGCGTTAGGGCTAAACCAGAGCTTATTGATGGTGGACCACCTGGGTCGTGGGCAGAAGTGCACCCAAGTGGGTGGATCCAAACCGATTTGTTTTTGAAATGGTTTGACAAATTTATATTATTTTCAAGAGCATCTCAAACAAATAAAGTTTTGCTTCTACTTGATGGTCATTCTACTCACACCAAATCTATACAATTAATTGATAGAGCTAGGGATGCTGGTGTAATTCTGCTTTGTTTTCCGCCTCACTGTACTCATAAGCTTCAGCCTTTAGACGTAGGATTTATGAAACCGCTTAGTGTCTATTATTGTGATGAAGTAAAAAAATGGCTGAGGGAACATGCTAATGAGCACAGGGTAGTTACACAATTTCAAATTGCTTCACTGTTTGGAAAAGCTTATATAAAGGCATCAACTATGTCAACAGCAATTAACGCATTCAGGGCAACTGGCATTTGGCCAGTTGATTCAAACATATTCAATGAGCATGATTTTCTAGCCAGTGCAGCTACAGACATTGATTTGGGAGATACAATTTCTGTTAATAATCAACTCAATATTACAGATATGAATACAATTCAAGTAGAAGTTTCAGATCCAAGCCAAAAAGAGAATGTTGCAACAGATATAACAACAAAACAAAACTCACCAGGATGTTCCTATTGGCAAAACAATGCTGAGAAAGTATTCCCTGTGTCTTCTCCTGAGGAAATACAGCCAATACCTAAAAGTTCAAAAACCACTGCACGTTGTTCTAAGAGAAGAGGTAAAACAGCAATCCTTACTGATTCCCCTTATAAAAATGAACTTTTAGCAGCAAATGCAAACTCAAAGCCACAGACTGCAAAGCGTTCATTGTTTAAGAATAAAAATAAAACAAAAAAAATAAGGAGAGTAAAAACTAAGGAACCAGTGTCCAGTGATGTAGATGAGAACTGTCTATACTGTGGTGAGTCATATTCAATATCAGTCGATGGGTGGATTCAATGTTCCAAATGCAATTTATGGGCCCACTGCCTTTGTGCGGGCATTGATGAAAAAGATAAGGATGCCTTATTAACCTGTGAACTTTGCTCTTAATTATTTTAAATGTGTTAATTTTTTAATTAAATTTTTAAGTTTGACTACTTGTGTAGGTACTACATCTATAATTAGTATTTAAATAAAATGTACCTATTTAATAAATGTAAAAGTTTATGTGTTTTAAATTTACAAGCACTTATTATTATTTGTTATTGATTTGTACAATATTATTATATTAAAATATATTCCTATGTATGTATGTACAAGTTATTTATATAAAAAAAAGTTCAAGTAGTTAAACTTATTTGCATATATGTAAAATGAAATAATATTTATGTTAAATAAATAATATTTGAGAGGCGTCCCCATTTTGCCCCATGTATGGGGCAAAACGGGAAAATTATACTTAAACCTATTTTGACCTTTAACACTATGAGACTTAACTGAATGTTTAAAAAATGCTCACATATTAATAACCATATCCTAAAGATTACACAGTTCAAGTTTCAAATCAAAATCACAATTTTTGAGTGAGTTATAGCTTCTGATACATTAACGTCCCCATTCTGCCCCACGTTCCCCTATTAATAAAAATCATGGAACTTACATACTAGCAGCTGTCATGGATTATATAAAACATAAACCTGTTACCAAATACCTATACAAAGTAGGTACATTGGTAAAGAAATGTTGGTAACACAGCGCTCTACTAATAATGGTATTCTATAGCAAATACTTAAAATTTAAATATTAAATTAAAACCTTAATTTTTATTCAAAATATTTGCCTGTATCTATCCGTACTCTGCAGGTCTGCAGTGGTCAAAAACCAATGTATATCTCTGCTGACTACTACCACGATAAACACAAAACGGCTATAAGGACACAATTAAATTCTTTCAGAAAAAACCGCGTGATTTAGTTAAACTGTCAGTGATAGCATCTCGATCATTTGCGTACCAACCGTATTAAGACCGTGGTACCAACAATAAAATATACACCAAGTACACCTGTAAATTCTATGAAACAAAATATGACAAAATATTAAGCTAAAATATATACCTAATAATATTATATTTGAATTTGAAAACATCGAACACGACCGGCTCATAAATGTTAATAAAGAAGCTGACTAAATGGCCATTGGCCAGCATTCTCTTATCTAAAATGAGAGAATTTCGTCTTTTTTTCGGCTACATAATTTATACATTATACATAGTACCTACGATTATCTAGTATTTTTATTTATCTGTGGTTTCAAACCACAATCTCAAATATGATTAAAAGTAAAAGAGTAACCTTAGTCAGCCCTAATTTTGGCGATTATCGTCCGGCACTACCGCGGTTCCGTCGAAGTCGTCAGACCACACTCATCAATTAAACCGATTTTTGTTTTTAAAATATTGCTTTACCATTGCTACAACATTCCAACATGACGTTACCTGTGTAATCTATACAATTGCAAAATACAACCTAGGAAGTTAATAGAAAAATAAAGTGAATATAACCGCGACACACGCGCGTGTTAGCCACATTTCGTAATAAATATTTAACAATAATTTATCTTCAGTACTTATAACGTTGTCGTCCGACTGCCCGAGATTATTCTTGTTTGAGGTGGAGCTATAGAGTATTTCCTATACATCATAATATTATAGGAATTAATAATGTATATTGGTTTAGTCGTTTAGATTTTTAAATTATTATTCAGTATTTTTTTATCATTGCCATTTGCTTTACACAAATCTGGTGGTTAGGATTTATGCAAACGTATGTGGTATATCTACTGGTATGTGTACAGTATACACTATACATCATCATAAAAATTATAATTTAACATTACCTATATCTAGTCATATTAATATTAATTGGAATTTTGCACTGATTTTATTTATTTAAGAACTATTCGCAAAATTTATTTGTAGACTGTAGTACCTACCTATACTTATTAAATATTTAATCTAATTATTTTATTTTTATTTTTTTTACAGTAGATATTCCTAACTTGTGCTATCTATACTTAGAGATATTTGAAATAATAAAACATATTTTGGTTTGTTAAGTGCGATAGTTAAATTAAATTAAAATTTGAATTTAAGTGATAGTAAATTATAGTTATAGAGGTTATAATTAGTTTATTTGGAAATATAATGCCGTAATGTTATAAGTAGTTAAATAATATTAGTAGTATATTTAAATTTTAAACGGAATGATAAATGTATTGATTTTACAATGATTATGTCTATAATTTGAAAACACGATTAGTAGTCGAAAAATGTTTTTTCGATTTAGACGGTGATTTTGGATAAAAAATTGGATCTCGTTTGTACTTTGAACAGGTAAAAATAAAAATTCACTGTATTTTTTATAAAGACTGAGAAAAAATAACAAACAAAAATTAAGGAAAAATGGGAATTGTTACGCTTAACCAGTTTACGACAAAATTGATTTCTTTATTTGTTATAATTAAAAAAGAATAACCGTATAGAACTTTAAATTTTCACCAAATGTTTATATTATTGTTTTATATACATGGTAAGAAATATTTAAATTCTTTTTAAACTACTAAGAAGCCTGAGAAATTTTAAGTTTTTCTTTTTTGTTCTTTATAAACATTTAAAGTAAGAATTTTAACGAAGTTTATCAAAATCACAAAAATTATAAATTTTACCGTAGTTAGTTTCCATTAATTCATAAAAATTATTCTGATTATATCTGAGATTTTAGAATTTAATTCAAGATTTATTGTACATTTTTCAG